AATGGAGTAACACAAAATCTGAAATTGTATTTGTTATTTATTTCTTCTTTTTAAATAATCATTATTTTTGTGTTTTACAAAAATTTAGAAAAAATCAAATATAGCGAGATTTTTAATAGGTTAAACAAACACTCTACTCAAGTTGTGATATATATATATATATATATATATATATATATATATATATATATATATTATAAAAATGCTATAAAATGAACTCTGCTTGGTAAAAAAAAACATAGAAACTTGAATGACATGTTCAAATCTCGAAGTCAACATACCAACTCTAAGTTTCAGAAAATCTTACAAAATTATCAAAATTACCGTCTTTATCATCCTCGATCGCATCTCTACAATCTTCCATAAAAACTAAACCAACAGGGTTCTGTTACAAATGCTCTTCCTCCTCAATTTCCTTTTGTTGAAGCAGAGCCTCCTTAAGTATCTTCAAACTCATACCAAATGATATAAACTGCAAAACATATTGAAGTACGTGAGAATATAGTTAGAAAAATATAGAAAATTCATACAAAAAGAAAGCAGAGAGATGAGTCTGAGATTCTTTGATTGAAGAAGCCATTGTATTTATAGGTAGAAAATACTAATTCAAAAGGAAAGTATAATAATTTATTTATTTAAGGGAAAGTATAATAATTTATTTATTTAAGGGAAAGTATAATAATTTATTTATTTAAGGTAATAACATTATTATTATTATTATTATTATTATTTATTATTTATTTTCCATTTGACATTTACTTACCAAATATGTTTTACTACAAAAGTTTTGGGGGAAAAATTTGTTAGGAGGATTTTACTTTTATATATATATATAGATATATATAGATATATAGATATAGATTACCCCTATATTTTGCTAGATAATTGACCTGCAGATTACTAAATTAGGTAACAAATGTATAGTCAATGGTTTTTTTTTTTTTTAGTAATACTACGGTTACAATGGAGTATCTGTTCATATTTAAGACTTTTCATTTGGGAGAGTCACTTCATGCCACTAGTGACTAGACCACAAGGTCATTGTCATATAATTAATGACTTAATTTGGTTTAAATGCAAGTCGATGATTAATCTTGATATTTTGAAATAATGAAAAGATCATTTATTATTTACACAAATGCTAATCTATATTATATGCATTTTCTTTTTGAGTGACGAGAGAAACTCATAACCACTAATCGATGGTGTGCATTGATGAATAAATTGTACTCTTGTGTAATAGTCTCAAACTACACATGAGAGATAAATCACATTAGGAAGATCGAGGGTGATGGGTTTGACCAAGATATCAAGTGTTGGTGATTATATGCACTTTGAGACCAAATATTCTTCTTGTACTATATGACAATCGAAAACCCTTACAAAAATTTAATGTGGGAAACGAATGCGCTCATATCATATTTTGTATAATGCCCTTAATGCATACGAAACTCAAAAGTAGCAATCAATGTAAAAAATTGGAGTTCTTATAGATGGGTTGTTTGATAGGCAATCATATCACCATATTTGCTTATTTCTAAATGACAATATGAATCATAACTATTTAATCATCCTTAATATTAAAATTACTTAATTAATCATATACCTAATCACATACCAATACTTCTATTATTGGTTAGGGAACACAAAAAATATGAAATTAAAAAAATCAAACACTTATTGCATATATGTTAACTAACCATTCTTAATTCATGGCAGGTGAGCTTGAGCTCTTAGTTTGATGAATTAATTTTTAGAATAAAATAATAAAAAATATTATATGATTTTTTAAATTATTTTACCTAATGCATAAAAAAAAGAAAACATCTTATTATATTCCATACCCTCTATGTCTCTATACCAACCCACATAGAGTGAGTTTGGGTTAAATTATCATTTTTTTTTTAATCTCACATTATCTAAGAAAGTAAGAATTTAGAAGTGATATTACAAAATGTAGCAAAAAAAAATTACAAAACTATTCTCAAGAAGTCAAGAACCTCACATCTTTAGAAACCAAACAAAAATATATAACATTCTTTAAGGTATTGTGAAACCCATTAGCACATTTACATTTACATGAACCAAATGCCTTATAATGTGATGATGTAACAAATGAGGTCATCAACAATTAAATGTTAAAATTTAGAAGAATTGGGGTAAGCATGCTATTAATACAATTATTCTAAAGTCAGAAATTCTATTTTGTATGTGTTTATCATGTTGAACTCTATGAACAAGACTTGGGTTACGTTAAATTTTGATTAATCTTACAATGCAATAGTGAAGATATATGTAGTGTTTGGTAAATAGTTGTTAGTTGATTGGGTTAGTGAGTTTGATTAGTTGATAACATTAGCTGATTGTAGAAAAATGTTTGGAAAATTAGCTGTTAGCTGATAGCTATTATGCAAAATAACTTTCTAAAAAACCGATAAAAAAACTACTTTGAACAGCTTTTTGAATTTATAGTATTTTGAAACAATAAGCTGTTACAAAAACTCATTAACCAAACACTTACATTGATTGTTTAACCAAGTCAAACATTTAATAGTGATCAAATAAGTCAATATTAACTGATAAACTAACTATATGTTACCAAACAGGACTATAATAAATAGAGAGTGATTTTTATAAGTGAATATAAAGCATTGCTCTATTTTAACATTAAAAAAAAAATCTAAGAATAGTGCATTTAATACTTCATATTAAAAAAAAATTCATGTTATGAAATAAATAAATCTATGATAAAAATTCTAACAATAATATATTTATATATTGACGTGGCATTATTTCATTAATTCTTTTGCTATATTTGATTACTATTGACTCTTTCTAGCTAACTCGCATTAAAACTACGGCAACAAAATAGTAATTCATGAGCGGAGTTTTAAACTGGTCATAGAGGTGAAACTTTGGAAGAATAACTAGGGATCGAGTTTCACCAGCGGCAGTGTGGGAGCAACCTCTCAAAGTGAGGGGGGCTCCTTGTGCGCAGTGAGCACTGATCTAGCCTCTATGGTTCATGTTCAGTTGAGTCACCATGATTTACATCCTCCCAAATGTTCTGTCGGGCCGGGGTGTGAGGGGCCCTTAGGGTAGGGTTGGGGTTCAGCCTTTTGGAAGAATGAGTGGAGTTTTAAAATTGCTATGTTCTAATTAGCTTGGTTTGCGTGAGCAACCATGTACTTTCGTTTCTTAAGAGGGATTGGATATTAGGCATCGGTCGGGTTAGTTGAGTCCAGTCCCTGTTCGATTCGAGATGTGGCACTGTGACTTACCATGGAGGGATGTGATTAAATGGTTAATGTCCACTTATTAATTATTACCAATTTGTTTTAAGTATGATATGACAATCATATAGCCAAAGAACTCTGTAGTAAAACATGTTTGACTTACAACAGTCATGGAAGTAAGCATAGTGCAACGCTGAGATCCATCATCGGGAGATCCAAACCTCATCTTGTATTAAAAAAAGGCAATATGACTACCACTTTATCTCGTATTTAAGAGAGATCGAAAGATCCAAACCTCCTCTCGTATTTGAAAAAAGTAAAATCATTATTGTGTGAACTATGGTCCACATAGTTCTGTGGACCATACTATCAAATAATCAAATAATGTACATTCAATACGCAAATAATGTACTTTTAATATATTAAAAATGTACATTGTATTAAGAGAAAGTACATTATTTTGTATAATGTACATTGAGTGCACGAATCATGTATTTTTAGCATATAAAAAATATACATTTTGTTATGATCCGTCTAATATTTGCCAAAAAAAAGCAAAATAATTAATACTTTATCCTTTAATTGAGTCGGTCCGGTGTGAGAATTAGTATGAATATGAATATAAATATAAATATTTTCTTCTGTGTTGTATCATTCTGCATACCTACACGTGTTACAGCGCCACGTCAGTGGTTGAATTTAAATTGTAATGAACAGTGATGAACTCATCCCTTAATAATTACGGAGTAAAAGTTTTTGTTGGTTGACTTTTTCAAAATGATTTGGTCATCACTTCCCCAATAAAGAAAAAATGAACATCAATTGAGGATCCATACGTTATATTTCTCTACTTAATATTACCTTTCCGGCGGTCCGGCCTTTCTAGAGTCTAGAGTAGTTTTGTTTATGATGAAGCGTAGGTATATAATCACATCAACACCTTAGTTGACTTTCCCTTTTATTTTAATTTTAAATTTTAATTTCTTAAACCATTGTGTTTGGAGCATTTTTTTAATAAAATATTTCAACTAACTTTATAGAGCTTATATTCGAACAAATAAATGTACTTGCATCCTCGATAATTATGGTGGCTTTGTAACAGTGGCCTGTTTGGTAAAATAATTAGTTTATAATTTAATTTTGACTTATTTAATCACTATTAATTGTTTGATTTAATTTAAAAATTAATATAAGTGTTTGGTTAATTAGCCTTTTGTACTTTAAAATGTTAAAATTCAAAAAGTTACTCAAAATAACTTTTTCAATTAGCTTTTTAAGAAAAAAGAAATTATATCAAACAACTATCAGCTAATTTAGCAAACACCTTTCTACATTAAGCTAATGTTATAAACTAATTATACCCTCTAATTAACTCAATCAACGGACATCTAATAGCTATCAGCTAGCAGCCATTTACCAAACAGGGCCAATGTATAATGATCCACTCAAGTGTGACCCCTAAACTCTCTTGACAAAAACATTGGAGTGCAAATAAGCGCTCTTATAGATTAAGAAAAGAGGTTTTAGCAACATTCGGGTTAACATTGACAGGGTGTTTGGTTGGAAGGGGGAATTACGTGGAAAATAAATTGCAATTCTATGGGAGATGAATTATTGGGAATAAAGTAGAAATTTAAATTTCAGTGTTTGGTTTACAAGAATAGAATTATTAGGAATTTCAATTCCAATGTTTGGTATACATGGGAATTGAAAGGGAATAAGTAGTATAAAGTCTAAAATGCCAATTGCTGTTGTGGTATTAATTTTAGGTTAAAAAAGTGAGGGATATTTTTGTCTCAGCACTAGCTTTTTTTTCTTCATAAAATCCCAAGAATTAAAATCTCAGAGGGTGGGGGGGTGGGGGCATGCGATTTTAATTCCATGAAAATGAGGGAATTACAATCCCAGGGATTTGCAAGGAATTGCAATTCCTTCCAACCAAACTAAGGAATTTTATGGCCTTTAGAATTATGTGGGAATTAAGTGGGAAGGAAATTTAAATTACCTCCAACCAAACGCCCTGTGATAGTTAGATAATGGTTTGGACTCTCGCAGGGAACACCTAGCCTCGATCTTATGTTGTTATTGTTCTAGACAATTGAACCAGCTTGCCCATATTTTGACCAAAGCAGCTAACTCTCAATCTATCTCTATGATAATTGTAATTATCATGTTATTTGTCTGTAACTATCATGTGATGTGTCTTCAATTTGTTTATATGTACAAAAACGATTAATTGCATATACATAATGTATCAACTGCATGTGCAAAATCTGAAGGTTATTTTTGAACTAGGGTCCACAGTGCACGATAGACACTGATCCATGGTATAATTTGCCGAGTCTAGAGATCAATCATTGTAAGGCAAATTTTATTGTGGACCATGGTCCAAAACGGTGCCGTTTCTTTTAATTAAAAGAAACGGCACCCGTTCCGCGTAATTCTCAATTTCATTTTATATACATTGTAGTTTCATTTTGTTTCAACCACAGTTTCATTCGTCGACATTATAAGTCGACTTCGGTTCGGTCCTAAATCGAAGTACCGATCGGTACTCAGTTTAGGTAACCCGTTTTACCCGAACCGATGAAACGATCGTTTTTTTTTTTAATAATAAATATATACAATGTATTAAATGTCTAAAGTAAAGTTTGAACCCATAATCACCAAGTTAGAAATCAAAAGTTTTATCCATTAAACTATAAGCACTTTTGTGTCAATGCTTACATTTGTATGTTAATAAAGGTATACATTTTTTATTCAATGTTGTACACTTCAATTGTAATGGACAAAATTGTCCCTATTACATTATTGTTAGACTAAAATACCCTTATAAGACCGTTATTATTTAATTCTAAAACTTTCATAATTCTCCAATTATTATCATACACCTATATCTAATTATCTATGATTTCTTTTTTCTATTCTTTAATTTTCATTTTATTAAAATTATTATATAATTACTTTAATTGTTGATTATATTTTAATTAAATTTTTATGAATAGTAAATCATATATATATATATATATATATATATATATATATATATATATATATATATATATATATATATATATATATATATATATATATATATATATATAGAGAGAGAGAGAGAGAGAGAGGGGCACGCACACGCGCCAATATATGTGATCAGGTACTAGATTAATATTTGATGGTTTTATTGGGACCGGTTTCACCATAAACCGGATATAGAAATATAGAACGGGGGTAGGCAAAGAATATCTTTATTACCAGGGGCACTAGGCCCAAATTAGAACGTACAAAGCGCGAGGTACAGGCCCAGAATGACTGCCCAAAATAATAACTAAACAAGCTAAGTGAACTAATAAATGAATAAAACTAAATATGTTACCAATAAGACTCGAACCCTGATGTGCCAGCAAGGGGTTGAAGACTTAAACCAATGGACCAAGAAGGGTTTGGTGAGGCAAGGGATGCCTTTAAAAGGGAGGGAAGGGTGCCTATTTATACTGCTGAGAGATTCACGGATGGTTGATAAATGGACGACATCTGACAGCCTTCATTTTGGACCACACATGTATGTGTCCCCCCACATCTTGCTCCCAGCGCACTCCCATGCATAAGTGGAGTTCCACCCTCTAATATACAAGATCTTGATTGGCTGGTGATTTGGGATTTGTGTTTTTATGCTTGAAGTTGTGGGTTCAATGCCCCTTAATAATAATTCTAGTAATATTTTGCTCCAACCTTCCTTCTTTCCTTAGCCTGATAGAATTCTATTATTCTTGTTGGGCCGACACATCACCCATAAAGATGGACGCCCCGTTTGGACAGTTGGGCCGACTTTCACAATAAAATGGGCCCCCCCGGGGTCCCATATCGCCATCGTCTTCAACCTCCTGCTGGCACACCGGGGTTCGAGTCCTATCGGTAACATATTTAGTTTTATTTCATTTATTAGTTCCCTTAGCTTGTTTAGTTATTATTTTGGGCCGCCATTCTGGGCTTGTACCTCGGGCTTTGTACGTGCTATTTTGGGCCTAGCGCCCCGGGTAATAAAGCTATTCTTTGTCTACCCTCGTTCTATATTTCTGTATCCGGTTGCAATAAAACCATCATTGTTATAGTTGTTTTATTTATTTATTGTAAAAATAAAGTATAAATTATATCAAAATTGTTTACATTATTAATAAACAAAATATAAATTTTGTTATAGTTTTCAAATACGATGATTAAAATTTATTACTTAAAGGAATTGCAAAATATAATTTGAACTATAATTTGTAATTACTTGCATTTATCAATTTTTTAATGTTGGGCATAAATTTTCGCGCATCACGCGTACAAAATGTTAGTATTATATATAAATATTATAATAATTAATAATTTCAACTCTTCAAGTCCTCATATCTCAACTCTAAGTCGTAAGTCCCAACATTTGGTGTTTTAATAATTCTTATTTTTCAAATATTAACTATAGATGGATGATTCTTCATCTTATCATCAACAAAACACTTCAAGTTCAAGTGAGCCAACTGAACAATAGATGGATGATTCTTCATCTTATCATCAACAAAACACAACAGTTCAAGTTCAAGTGAGCCAACTGAACAGTCGGTCAGGCAAAAAAAGAACCGAACGTGCCCAGCCCTAATTATAATCGGTCAGGAAAAAAAAAAACCGAACGTGCCCAGCCCTAATTATAATACAATAATGAAAGGTTCCACCGAGATTTGAACTCGGGTTACTAGATTCAGAGTCCAATGTCCTAACCACTAGACCATGGAACCATTTCATTAGATCATATACACTCAAATATGAGAGTCTCTAGTATAATTCTAATCCAACTACGATTTCATTGGACAATATACACTCAAATATGTGAAACCGTAATTCAGTTTCATTTTATATACACCATAGTTTCATTACAACACAACAACTATATCATTTCGATATAACTACAATTTCATTTGTCAATATACACTCAATATGTGAGACATGTTATTCAGTTTCTTTTTATACATATTATAATTTCATTTAAGCAAAACTAAAGTATTATTTCTATTCAACTATAGTTATATTTGACAATATACACTTAATATGTGAGACATGTTATTCAGTTTCATTTTATATATACTTGATAGGGATTTATACCCTGCACCTACGGGTCATCTAGCCCGGTCAACAGTATGCTCCAGATCTGCCCGGTCACACGTTCATCTATCTCCGTACCTGTCGTTTCAAGGTCATCCTGCCAGGTCAGTGGCACGCCCCAGTTTCTGCCCGGTTGCCCGGTCATCCCTATGATGCGTGAGGAGTTCCCCGCCGTTGGTGGCCGGTGACCAGGAGGGATGACGGTCGGATTGGGGCCCTACAACTGTCGGAAGACATGCGCCACGTGTATGACTGCATGTTCGCCTTCTCAAGACCCGGTGCATGAACGCCACGTGCCCGTCATGCCGAAAGGCCGGGCGCTCCCTAGGTCTCTTATAAATACCGCATTTATTGCCTTGAGGGGGGACTTTTTCACCTACCTTAGACTAGACATTTAAGAGGTTTTCGGTCAAGTTATACGATCGGTCAACCTGATATTCTATTGTCCCGAACTATGGTGATTTTATACACATCAATATTGTAGTTTCATTTCAACACAACTAAAATATCATTTCAATTTAATTACAGTTTCATTTGATAATAGAAACACAATATGCGAGACAATTTTATTTAAGATACAGTGTAATTTCATTTTGTTATGAACATATAAAAAATACGAGATTTGTTAAAATATAATCGCTGCCGTTTCTTTAAGTAAAGAAATGATTCTGTTTTTGGACAGTGGTCCACAGTATAACAAAAGCCGAATCACTGTTGGGCCTAATTTTAAAGCCCGATTTCATCATAACCCATATATCGGGACAGATTGCCGAGTATTCCGTACAGTAGACTCGGCCCAAATGCTTCATACATCGAATCATCATCCACGTGCTCTAAAGCAGGCCCTCGCACGTGTTCTCTCTACCATAGAAAACAAACCAATTCCTTTTCAGTTTTCACTCTCTCTCTCTCTCGAGCCTTACACTCCTCCATTCTCGATACTTTTTTCAATTCAGGATCTCTTCGAAATCTCCACCGCCTTACAATCTTCGAAAGCCTAAATTGGATTCACATTGTCGTATGCGATCCATTGTTTGATGCACGTAACCCTACTTGAACGAAATTCCGCCTCCGCCTTTTTGATTTTTTTTTTTGAAGTTGCTTGACCGCCCCGCCGGTGGTGGGGAATGACGGAGGCGCAGCCGACGGAGAACGGCGGAGGGATGGCGGCGGCATCTGAGCAAATCGGTACAAAGCGTCAGCGACGACCTAGCGTCAGGTTGGGCGACATCGGCGGGAATCATACCTCTTACGAGCACCGCAGAGACAGAGTTAAGGCGCCATGGAAGGACTCGTCCAGCAAGGCCGCTTCCAAGACTCGGCATCTCACCAACTTTTCAAGTAATGAAACCCTAACCCTCGCTGATAACAATGCCAATGATAATACTGGTAGAAATGCGAACAAAAAGATTAGTAATAATGTGGATGAGGATGACGATAGAGGTGATAATTTAGATAGTGTTGCGATTGGTAGCTGGAAGGTTAGGGATTTGAAATCTAAAAGAGGTGCGACGACTAAGAGAGTGAGGTCCAATTGGTTTTCCAGCTCCAAAGCCAATGAGAGTGATGGGGATGACAAGGTAATTAGTGGTAGCAGGGAAGAGGTGGAGAATAATGATGAAATTTGTCCCGATTCTGAAACCGAGGATTCAGAGCACACCCCACTTCATCCGTTGGATAACAATAAGAATAACACTAATGCAGGCATGGGTGATGATGCCAGAGGAATTGGGAATTTGACTAGTAGGAGGATGACTAGGGTTTCAGAGGAGGGGCCAAGTGATACTGAATTCAGGAACTGGAACTACTCATCTGAGAGAAATGGGGTGAAAGTATGGTTGAATCAGTTAGGACTTGGGAGGTATGCCCCTTTGTTTGAGATTCATGAGGTTGACGACGAGGTTTTGCCAATGCTGACCTTGGAGGATCTTAAGGATATGGGGATCAAAGCAGTTGGTTCTCGGAGGAAAATGTACTGTGCCATTCAGAAACTTAATAAAGGGTTCTCCTAGAAGCCTAAATTGAAGCAGCTACTATGTCTGTTGGCCATCCATTGTGAGGTTTTTGTTTGCAGGTGAACATTACCTGGATCATTGATGAGATGGCCTTGGAGCTGAGAGTTACTTTAGCTGTCTAGCTTATTGATTTTGCAAATGTTTTTTTAAAAAAAAAAAAAATTTAAGCTATGCAATTTTGGTATACTAATCTAGTGTATGGTACATAAAACTCTAATTAATGACTATCATATTACTGATGTAATCCTAGATTCAGGATTTTAATAAATTATGGAAATTGGAGGTAGAATCAATTGTTCAAAATGGAATACAAATTGGTCTTTCAATTTGCATACTTCTCATCTCTAGCCTTAACTCTCTTTAATTGCTTCCATTGCCTTGTGCAGTTTAGATTTTATTAGGGTGTCAAATGTACATCAACATTTCAATTGCATCAGTTCTTCCTTTGCATTTCACCAACTTGGTGAATGAGGTCTATATTGATTATGTAACTGTAATGTTCTGGGGATCATATATGGTTCATGAAATGCTTATTTTTGCTTGGTCTTCTGATTTTAATTTGTTGTGGTATTGGCATTCTGGTTGTGTTATACATTTCTTTTCCTCATTGCATTTCATGATTTAATGTCATCCTCTAGGATCTCTACTTATTGTTTAGAGTTCAGAACATGTATTCTATTTTGTCCCTTTAATAATTTATATGCATCTAAATTGGAGACTGGTTCTTTTTCTTTGAGTTAGAATCTACTTGGAATACTACATGTAATGTGTTAAATAAATTCACTTATCAGGGCAATGCAGCTGATCCTATCGAAATCTTTTTGTTTTTATTTGACAATGTGAATTTCTGAATTCTTTTGTGTCCATTACCGTCTTCTCATATAGACATTCTGCTGAACTTGGTGCTAAATTAATGAAAACTACTTTTACCTATCATGAGAAGATTTGCTCAATGCATTTGTATGTATGATTCTGGCTAGTTCTGAAGTTCCTAAGATATGCAGTAAATTGCTGGTTCAACAAGAAAGAGGATGAGAAACTGCTTTCTTCAGAAACTGAAGGCAGAAACATGAGCAAAATTAGCTATCAGACAGGTAGGTACAAGGACATATAACATTTCCTTCAGAAGCACTATCAACCTCAATGAGGATTTAATTTTCAAGCCAGAGAAAAAGTTTGCAGACCTGTAAGTTTTCATTAAATAATTTTTTCAATTTGCTTATTTTCTCCTTTAAAAATAATATTTGTGGAGGAAAAAAGGAGAATCCATTCACCCTGGACAAAAATTATCACCCGCGCGGGTTGCTGGTCAGCCTGCAGGCTAGGACTATATATATAAAATCAATACTATGGACTTACGGTTTAGAGAGTAATTAGGTTTGGTTTTAGACTTTTGCAAAATCCGCAGCCCTAATCCCCTAACCCCATCCGACATCCATCTCTCTGTTTGCAGTTTCACACTTCGCAGGAATCACATTCGACAACCCTAAGTCCCTAACGGCCTAAGCAGTCCGGCAGACGACGCACGGAAATCCCCATCTGCTAGCCGCAGCCGCCACTCCACCAGCCCCATCCGCCGGCCGCAACTGCCGCTCTGCCAGCCCCATCCATCCAGTCCAGCCTATCCCCATCCATCTCTTTGTTTGACCCCATCTATCTCTTTGTTTGACGTTCGCACTTCGCCGGCAACAGTCGCCACTCCGCCAGCTGGCATTCGTCTGCTCTCCAACCTTCGTCCACGGTTCCGCAGGTAAGCCACCGATTTCCAGTTTTTATTTTTTATCACTTTTGTTAAGTCTGTGCTGTGAAATGTGAACTGTGTTACTTGACACTTTGGCAGTATACAAAATTACAAATTGTGAAACTTGAAGTTGACAAAAATTGCCTATTATAATTGTCACTTTTGTTGTGTAATTGTTAGTGTAATATTATAATTTCTTGTGTTTCACTATTTGTAAGTGCATTCATTAATATATATATATATATATATATATATATATATATATATATATATATATATATATATATATATATATATATATATATATATTGATATGTGAATATGTCATATTAATTTTAGGTTGGTTATGTTGGTACATAATAAGTTGTTCTCAAGGACAAAGTTCATCCCCCGTTGATATAACATATGACACCGAAATAACACAACCTTCACAACTTGAAACCCAAGTTAAAAAAAGATGCCTCACTTCAGATGTTTGGAATCATTTTATAAGAAATGAAAAAACTACAAGTAATGATAAAGAAAAGGCTAGATGCAAGTATTGTAATAGATAATACACTATTGGGGTCACACAAGTATGGAACATCAACTTTAAGCCGTCACATAAGCACTTGTAAGCAAAAGCCTAAATATCAAGATGTGGGTGATATGCTTATTGGTCATTAAAGGAAGTTGCATGCTAAAAAGATTGGTCACAATAGGGTTCGTGAGAATATTAGTATGCTCATAATTTACCATGATCTTCTATATCTTCCATATTCTTGGGTGAAGAAATGAAGAATACTTAGGTTAGAGAATTGCATAAGTAGTTGAATGTTGATTACAAGTACATAAGTAGAAATATTGCAACGGATGTTTACATGATTTATGAGAGGGAAAAAGACAAATTGAAGGATGTCTTGTCAAAAGTTCCTAGTAGAATTTGTTTGACTTTAGATATTTGGACAACAATGCACAATTGATGGATATATTTGTTTGAATGCGTATATTGATAATAACAAGTTAAATAGTAAGATATTAGCATTTTGTGTTATGCCTCCACCGCATACTGGCCGTGAGTTAGCTAAGAAACTTCTTGGTGGTTTGAAACATTGGGGAATTGAGAAAATTTTATTTTCTATTATTTTGGATAATGCTTCAACTAATGATAGTATGCAAAGCATCTTGAAGGAACAACTTTGTTTACAAAATGATTTGTAGTGTAATGGTAAATTTTTTCATATTAGATATTCTGCACATATTTTAAATCTTATTGTATAAGATGAGTTGAAAGTGATTGGTGATTCTTTTTATAAAGTTCGAGAGGGTGTGAGGTATGTTAGAGTCAGAGGGAAGAATGTGTTAAAAAAAAGTAGGTGTTCACCTTGAACTTGGTTTATCTCTTGATGTGCCTACTAGATTGAATTCTGTTTATAAAATGATTGATAGTGTTATCAAGTATCGGCGTGCTTTTAGTAGTCTGTAATTACTTGATACAAACTATAAGCATTATCCTTCACATGGAGAGTGAGTTAGAGTAGAAAAGATTTGTGACTTAATGCGTTTTAATGAAATTACAATAAAACAAATTGAGTATTTGTTGACAATGAATATGAAGAGTGGACCAAGAGAACTTATTCCCACATTTTTAAAAAAATTATTTATCTCACATCTAATTGTCAACAAATACTTAATTTTTCAAACTTGTCGAAGATATATTCGATGTGAATAAGTTAATCCATAAAACAATTTGGTAATTTCATTAAAAGGCATTAAGAAGTCACAACTTTTCTACTCTAACCCACCCTTCAAGTGAAAGACAATGCTTATATCAAATAATTGCAGACTACTAAAAGCACGTTGCATTTTATAAGTAGAATTCCATATAGCAGGCACATTAAGAGATAAACCAAGTTTAAGCTGAATACTTACTTTTTTAACGCATTCTTCAAATACTTTCATTCTTTACTTTCACGCTTTAACATACCTCACACTTTCTCGAACTTTGTAAAAAAATACGAATTACTTTTAACCCATCTTGTACAATAAGATTCGAGATATGTGCATAGCATCTAACATGAAAAAATTCACCATTTCACAACAAATCATTTTGTAAACAAAGTTGTTCCTTCAAAATGTTTATGAAAAAAATTCACCATTACACAACAAATCATTTTGTGAACAAAGTTGTTCCTTCAAAATGTTTTGTATATCATTAGCTGAAGAATTATCCAAAGTAATAAAAAATATTTTTTCTGAGTTCTCCTATCTTTCAAACATCTTAGCTAACTCACGATCAGTATTCGGGGAGAAGGCATAACACAAAATGCTAATTTCTTACTGTTTAACTTCCAATTATTATCAATATAATAATCGTAGTCAAAGAAATGTATCCCTCAATTGTGCATGTTGTCTAAAGATCTAAAGTCAAACAAATTCTACTAGGAACTTTTAACAATACATTCCCCAATTTGTCTTTTTCCCTCTCATAAAACATGTAAACATCCGTTGGAGCTGTATTTCTACTTACGGACTTGTAATCAACATTCAAATACTTATGCAACTCTCTAACTCAAGTATTCTCCACCTAAGAATATGGAAGATCATGATAAATTATGGTCATACTAATAATCTCACGAATCCTATTGTGATAAATCTTTTTGGCACACAACTTCTCTTCATGGTTAATAAGCATAGGAATAAGGTTTAAATTGGCCACTGAACGTAACCTGAAAATGCAATTAGGCCACTGAACGAAAAAAAAGTGCAATTAGGCCACTGAACATAGGGATGGCAATTCTACACGCACCCAACGTGTTCCCCGCATCCCCGCCCGTACGGGTTTTAAAATACCCGCACAATTTGGGTAATGCGTGCGGATATGCGGGAAATATACCTGCGCGGGTACGGGGCGGGTGCGGGGGAGGTATCCCCTCCCCGCACCCGCACTTATATATTGTTATTAGTATTCATTTATTATATAAGTTAATGTATATTTTATAATTGAAAATGCATAATGAATTAAACTTCCTAGTTTTTTGTTTATGAAACTTGAATAGGAACAACACAAATAACATAATGAGTAAACACTTAATACAATTTATATTATCAACACAATTTTAGTTCCAATTAAGAACTAACTTCATTGGCTCTTATTAAATTTTAGAATTATGTTCAAACTTATAAAAAAATCAATGTGATAATTACAATTGTAGTATAAGATTTTTATTAGATTTAAGTGTAATATAAATAATTAGAGTTGCGGGTTGGGTATTACCTGCACCCGCAAAATCCCCGCAGGGGCGGGTATGGGGTAGGATTTTCATTACCCGCGCGGGTGCGGGTGCGTGTGCGGGGAGTGGGTTGGAAATGCGGGTGCGGGGGCGGGGGCGGGGGATATGTCCCCCGCACTCGCCCCGCCCCATTGCCATTCCTAACTGAACACTTTAAAAACGTACAATTAGGCCACTGAACACTCCAAATGTATGCAATTTCACTGGATAGCAGGTTATCATCAATTTTAGCAGGCTACCTGCTTACGTGGCAACTAAGTTAGCATTTTTAATAATTTTTTAAAAAAAATTATAAAAAAAAGAAATCCCCGACAGCCACCCATCGTTTTATTATTATTTTTTTATTTAATTTAATTTTTTTCAATTTTTTTTTTAAAATTTATTATTAAAAATTATTTAAAAAAATTATTAAAAATGCCAACTCAGCTGCCACGTAAGTAGGTGACCTGTTAAAATTGATGGTAACTTGCTACCAGGTGAAATTGCATAGATTTAGAGTGTTCAATGACTTAATTGCATTTTTTTTCGTTCAGTGGCCTAATTGCATTTTCAGGCTACGTTCAGTGGCCAATTTGAACCTTATTCCATAAGCATATTACCTCCATTTTGATCTTTAGGGTTTTGCTTACACGATGGCTTAAAGTTGATGTTCCATACTTGTGTGACCCAATAGCGTATTCTCTATTACAATACTTGCATTTAGCATTTTCTTTATCATTACTTGTAATTTTTTCATTTCTTATAAAATGATTCCAAACATCTAAAGTTCGGCGTCAATTTTTTTTTTTTTCAAACTTAGGTTTCAAGTTGTGAAGGTTGTGTTATTTCGGTCTCATTTGTTATATCAACGGGAGATAGACTTTGTCCTTGAGAACAACTCATTATGTACCAATGTAACTAACCTAAATTAATATAACATATTCACACACACACAATATATATATATATATATATATATATATATATATATATATATATATATATATATATATATTACACAACAAAAGTGATAATTATAATGAGTAATTTTTGTCGGCTTTAGGTTTCACAATTTATGTAGTGCCAAATAACACTGATAGGGAATATTTTTTGGGCTTAACCTCCCTAATGTTCTATGCTCCTATTTGGTAGTCGGGCCAGGGCCAGGTGTTCGGGGCAGAGCTAAGATAGTCAATGTTTGTGCCTATATAAGGGCCATTCACGCACAAGCCAATGGGAGGCCATTTCTCTCTTCTCTACGACTTCTCTAAAGAATTAATAAGAAAGGCTTCAAGCCAATTTCTAGGATCTCCTCTCGAGAATTCTACACTTGCTATTTTATTAATCTTAAATTCAGTATATAGCAAGGATAATTTTTACTATCAAACATAGTTCACATTTCACAACACAAACTTAACAAAAGTGACAAAAAATAAAAATTGGAAATCTATGGCTTACGTGCGGAGCCGTGGATGGAGGTCGGCTGGTGGAGTGGTGGTTGCGGCCTGCAAGGTGCGAATGTCAAACAAAGAGATGGATGGGGTTAGGCCTAATTGGATGGGGCTAGCGGAGTGGTGGATGGGGACTGTCATCTGCCGGATGCGACTCCTGCGAAGTGCAAAACTGTGAACAGGGAGAT